TTATAGACATTTTTATTTATTTTTTAAAAAGCCAAAATCTGAAATATTTAAATCTATAATCTAATTTCTAAAGCATACTATTCTAGAGTTACCAAAATAAAAATAGTAAGCCATAAAAAACCAAGAATAAATTGAGAGCAATTGTAAAATAAGGAGATAGTCAAGACAACTTCAGACATAAATTGCTGTAAAGAATTTAGAAGAGGAATACATCTCAAGTCCAATAAGCGAAATCCTCCTGCGGAACGCTGAAAAGAATGTCGCGGAAATCCCAGAGCCAGCATCAACAGTCAGTGCGGAAGCGCTTCAATAAAAACAGAACAATGACAATAATAACGACCCAACCTGAACGGAGAAGAGTTGGATGGAAACACCGGATATCCAGCTACCTAAAGGGCGGGAAGCCTCAACAAATGTCAATTTATCATTTCCGCTGGTGAGGCGACGCAAATTGCAGAGCTTAGGAAATGCTTTGCGCGCCTGTTTAAAAGGCATTTTAGCAGGGCAAACACGCAGACATTAGACCCGCCGCCACACACACACATCACCATCCATATAAATGGGCTCTAATGGCCCTGTTCCCCTTTTCTGCCCTGCCCCATTGTGGTATGCATAATTTTCTCTGTCTTGGCGCCGGCTTTCTTCAATTTGTGGCCATCCTGGAGACGGACACAGATATTAAATATCATTCGGGCACGCATTTCTGGCATTTGTCCGACTCTTTAATGCCGCCCCAGTGTCCAATTTTATGCATTTCTTTCGTGTAAATATGCCGCTGCGCACCCCCTCTTCCAGCTCTCATATTATTCATATTTCTGGGCAAGGCCATTGCCAAAAAGTATTTTTAGGCCAGAACTATCCTCTCCCTTTCCCGCCGTCAAATTGAAATTAATGCGTTGGGCCAACGCGGCGGATACGTGTTATTGGTACGGCTGACTTGCCGAACAAATGGACTGTGAACGTTCTGCTAAATTTGAATTTTAATGCTTTTGGCCGGTAAAATTTAACGACTCTCGATATCTTGGCGTGAAAGTATTTTATAGTTATTGATTTTCAGGCTGTCAACGCAAAATGGACCAGGAAAAGGTGTTTTTATGTCTTTGAAACGATTGGATAATAAATTTAAATGCTCAAAAATAAAGTTTTATAGCGTCGATATGTTGATTTTTTTATTAAAAAAGTTTCAGTAAGATAAGGATACTGTGGAAACATATTTATATTCATTAAAGTCAGAGATTTTAAGTACGGAGAACAACACTAAGATATAACCATTAACCGAAAGCACTAAAACAAAAGATCTTTTATTAAAAATGTATAATCCTTAAGGTTATAGATTAATCCTTAATCTAAAAATACAAGTATTAACAAAAGTTTACTTAAAAAATAAACCTATAATTCTTTAAGAATTTGGAATATTGTTATTACAATATTTTTCTGCTTAACTAATTGAATCCTTGCTCAACCCTTGTCCACGCCAACGCCTAGTCCTCATTCTTAACCAACAGCTTATCAACAGGACACACCCATGAACAGGAATTGCGCTAATTAGACCGACAACAGCCACGCACATCATCAACATGACCACCTTTCCACCAAGAACAAAGCAAATGCCGCACCCACCTTACGGCAAGTGTAAACAGAATACGTGTTTCCACAGAAAATCATTTGCTCAATAAATCAAATTGACTGCTCTCTGGCAAGTAGAACACCGTATTTACTCTCAATTAGTTGAACATTAGCAGGACATTTCGGGCAGCAAACAAGTTGCTACATAATTAACCAAGCGTAATAAGTTAGAAACACTCCCCTCGAGTGGGAATTGAAAACGCTTCAGGACTTGTCAAAAATTTAATTAAAATTATGCAAATTTCGGCGATAAACGCAAGTATAAAGCTTATGCCTTTGCCTTATGTCTTTGAAGAAGCCCGCAGTCTTTTTAATCTGCCGCTAATGCGCGCTTTTGTGCGTGGGAAATCGGATTTTGTTACTCTCATGCTGAGAATATTAAATATTTTACAATCTTTAAGAATACTGATTTTATGGTTGAGAATTTTGTTCTTTACCAGAACTCTATAGAATTTGAAATGAGTTTGGTCTTTTGGAAGCTTATTTAAAGTTTGTATAGTAAAGATTTTTATAAGCAAAGGCATTATCGAATCAGTAAGCCACAAAATAAACTAAGAGATATCAAATTAAATTAATTATTTACAGCAAAAGTATTTGCTCTGGTAAAAGCATTTAATGAATAAAAGATTGAAAATAAATGAACAATTTCGTAAATAAATAAAATAAATTCTTTTAATAGATCAATTCATTGTAAAATGTAACAGGACGTGTTAATTAACCACTTCCAGCTTCCTAAATATCCTTTAAAGAGCATCTTATTGTAGGGATAATTCCTTTTTGTCCGCAAGTGTGTACGTAGAGTTTAATTGCTTGTCTCTAGTAGGAACAACAAACACTGGATGGCACTTATTTGCATTTCACATTAGGCAGAGGCATCTGAAAAGGAGCTTTGCAAGGACTTAGCATGTTCCGCCGCCCTTCGTCTCCTTTCGTGTCTGTTTGTTTAGGCTTATACTTTGCATGAGTTGACATCTTTATTGGCAATTTATGTTCTCCCAGGCCCATCCACAATTTTCAGGTAATTCCGCTTTGGGCGTGGCCAAGTTCATTAGGAAATAAAATGGCCCTCGTCATCACCATTTCTTAATTAGTTGACAGGCCGCAAAAAAGTATGAACAGTAAACCCGGTTTCGAGTTAACCATTAGCGGATTTATGCTTTTAATTTTGTTTTACTTGCAACCGGAATAAAATTGAAATACGGCCTACGTGTTTGTAATACGAAATGTTCTGGGTGGCGAAATAAATGGCGTAACCGAGCGGCAGTTTTATGGTTGATTTGGGTTTTCCCCGCTTTCCTTTAGTTTCTTTTTATGCTTTTTGCCACTTTTCTTTTATGCTTCAGCAGATGAAAATCAAAAAAGTTTGAAGAGCGGCCTAAACTTTATAGTAAGTAACTTTATAGTGGGCAGAAGATAAAGAATCCGAAAGACAGCTGGTAAATATTTATGAAACACTATACCGCAAATGAAATTGAATATTGAATAGTCTTGTTGGCTTCAAGGACTCATTCAAATTTTCCAACTAAACCTCATGAGGAGCTTCTGGAAATTTCACAAATTCGCTGAGGAGTTTCTGGAAATTTCACAAAGCCTCAATTAGCTGAGCTAAACCTAATGCAAAATTTTACCCGGAAAACAAAGTGAGCAGCTGCCGTGAAATACGCTTCAATATATTCGCAAATTAAAAGCAGTCAGAGGCAGGGAAATTGCTAAGCAATAATTATAATTTGTGGCATTAGCAGGGGTACCGAAATTTTCTGGGTAACTTTCGCCGAGCAACCAGCCATTGATAAAGTGTCGCTATACAATTTATCAGCACTCCCTCCGGGAAAAATGGAAAATGAAAAGCGGAGGCGAGCGGGAAAATGTGCGGAAAACGGCAGCTAAACAAACAGTTACTGCACCTGCCACTGGGGAAAACGGGCTGTGGTAATTTATGAGTCATTCTCTGGAAACGCTGTGTGCTCTCGTTTTTGGCTTCGTTGGTTTTTCACATTTTCATTATTTCAAAAAGGAGCAAATAAACTGCAAAAAGTTCCCCAAAAAGATGAATTAAATGTTTGTGGTGCTCGCTTTTCCTTATTTGAGGTTTGCAAATGGCATTACCCGAACTTTGTGTCCGAGTTTTGGGTTGAGTAAAAAGTTTTTATGATGCAAATTCAAATTAATTTTAAAGTAAATTGAAAATAATTTAAATAAATGTGTTTTCAGAGAGAAAGAAAATTAAATTGCGATTGAATTATATTTTGTTTTGCCCAGAAAATGGTTATCCATTAAATATGAACCTGATTTATCAATTCTCTTTGACCATTTTTTCCCTTTAATAGTTTGGTTATTGTGGTGAAACATCAGTTTAAGATAAATTGCCAGTAAATTAACATAACAAAGCCAACTTTTATTCTAAATAAATACTACTCTTTAAGATATTTTCTCTTTAATAATTCGTATTAAAAGCTTTTCTTGTGAACAAAGTAAACGTTATTATCACCCTACTTCGGATTCTTATGTCGTAAACTCAACTTGTGTCCCCAAAAGCAAGCTATGGAATTTGTCTTATGGTATTGCCCATATCGCTGGCCATAAAAGTAAATTCCGTCTACGCTTATTAGATAACATAAACAGGAGCATGAACTACGTTAACGTGCATTAGGAAAAACTGTGCCCAAGGCGAATGGCCGGCAACGCGGCGGCTACTTAACAAAGTTAAGGATCTTACACAAATTTGCCATTGGCGCATAAAAATGCTTGCGGATGTAGTGGCGTGTAATGGAGTGCAGTGTATACACACAAATGTATACATCTCTTTATATACATTCGTGTACAGTTAAACAATTCATATTTGCGACACCATTAAGCACGGAAGGTGAGGGGAAAACTGGGGGAAAATGGAAAAGTGTGAGCAAAAAGGCAACTGCGATAACGACGTACGCCCAGCGTGTTGATACAGTAAATAATACTGAAACCCCTGGTCACAGGATTTCCTTTCATCCGCACACACAACACACTCGGAGAAAATAGGGTCCAGACCATTAGTAACTTTTCAGATTTTATTTGCTTTGGTCTGTATTATATTAAATATTTATCCAATTTTAGAATTTTAAACATTACAAAAGCAATTTTCTTATAAGCTTTTAATTGGTTTTAAATTTAAACATTTTTCGTTTGTTTGTTTTAGTTTTCTTATTTTGAGAAAATAAAAGAAGTTTTTCATTGAAAGTTCAATTTCGCCAAACAGCTAATAAAGGACATTTTGAAAGTCTGGTGGGAATTTCATTTCATTTTTTCCGAGTGCACTCACACCCACACACGCACACCGAATGTTGAATAGGTGTTAATATGAATGTATTGGATATCGGAGATTGAGCCTGCCTTACCTTCGTCCTCGTCGTCGTTGAGCTCCGTGATTGCCGCCTTGTCGCAGGGTCGGTCAATGCCATTTGTTGCTTCCGACTTGCCACTGCCCCCGCCCACGCCCCCGCCCCCGTTGGCCGCCTTTGCATCGCCATTGGAGATAATTGAACTTGATTTGGCGTGATTTGTATGATTGTTCGCGGATGACTTGGAGGACTCGCCCTCCAAAGGAGGAGCACTGGGCTCCGCCTCGCCATTGCTGACCGCATCGAGGGCCGCGCCATCCTTGGTCTTCAGCTCCTGGCTGGTGTTGCAGCCCATCTCACTGGATTTGGGTTCACTCGGCTATTTGGCTATTTAGTCCGCGGCTTTTGGTGGGGTCTCTCCGCTTGCAGTTGGCCTAGGTTACCCTTATTTTGTTTAATCAATTGCACACACACACGACCCAACAATCGTACACACACACACACACAGTCCCGTGTTGGAAACTAGTTTATGAATTATACTTGTTGTTTCTGGGCCAATTTGCACTTTGACTTTCACGAGACGAAACCTGGTTTTTGCTCAAAAATGTTTAGAAAAATACGCTGGGCTTGGGTTATTTTTTGGAAAAAATTCTGTGTTTACAAAAGTCGTTAGAAAAAGATGCACAACCACAGGTTATCAGCCAAAGAACTCGCACGGAACCGGAAGCGGAAACCAGCTGAATGGCGGACTCGCAGCGCAACTAACTGACTGTCTCTGGCACAAGCTCAGGCACAACTGACTTTGACACTGAACGGCGCCGGCGACGCGTCCTCACTGCGGATGGAACGGACCCCGAATGCCCGACATCCCCATATCCTGCAGGAGCAGCAGTGTGGAGCTCAACAAGCAGCGACTCGCCAGCCGGCAGTCAACGACACATAAAGCCCAGGGAAACAGAGAGCCAGGACCTCCCGAAAAGAGAAAGAGAGAGATAAAGTTCTCTCTCGCAGGATTCACAGTGGGCTAAATTATTTATTTTCTGGGAAAAATAAGTATCGCATGGGAAACATAAACATAAGGCTTTTTATGCCCAGAAATTAATAAAACATTTAAAATTTTAAGTTTTCAAAATTTTTTCACGAATTTATGTTTGGGATTAAATAAAACTTTTGTAAAATTCGTAACAATTACAAATAAATTAATGACTTTCCACAGAGTTCACTAGGGATTAAAAGTCACAAACAAAGGTGTATTAAAGTGTTCAGTATCAGACTTCCTTATTTAAATTATATTGTTTCAAATAATTAGAAACTTTTATAAGAGTTTTTCAAAAGTTGGTAATTTCTTTGGCACAACCAAAAAACTATTTCGTTTAGTTTAAAAAATAACATTTTATTTTAATAATAAATTATATAAATTTATAAGACACACATTATTTCAGAATGTTAGTTACCGACAAACTCTTTTTTTCTTTATCTATATATAAAGTTAAATAAATGTTGTCCTTTTGTCCAGAAATAACAAATTAAGTGTTTTGCTTAATCCAATTAATATTTGATTATAATCATTAAAGCATTTAAAATGTTTTTCATTTATCAAAATGTTTTTTCGGGTAAATAATATATTAAAAATTTAATTCCACTGTTTGGGAACTGCTTTATTCGAGACCAGAACAGAGAGCCCAAAAAGAGAGTCGCTTTTGAGCCAGGCGGCAACAGCAGCAGCTGCCTCTGTTGTTGTTAGCCAACTCTGGCTGCAAAGTTTTTCGCAAATAAACAAACCGACGGCCAAAGCCGACTCACAGATACGCACGCACACACATGTAGACAAAGCAGGACAATGTGGCTTAGAGGAGCCGCAGAAACCGTTGCGGTGGCACCAGAATCCGAAGAGCAGGCAAAGCAGCCATGGCAATGGCATCATCATCACCACAGACACAAGCGTAGACACAGTTACAGGCACACTCACACTAACACAGGCCAATGGACTCGCACACACACACACACACACACACTGCGTGTAACCGGGCGTAAACAGCTGAATGAAGGCCCAGCCAAAGGGAATGCAAATAAAAAAAGGAATATTACCAAGCTGAAAACCTGGCCCATAAAAATATCAATGAATACATGGGCCGCTCCTTTGAGCGCATATAGCAATTCATAAAAGGCAACTAGCTTATATCTTTTGCTACTCAGCTGTCATCTGGCTTCCTGTTCTGTTTTCTTGTTGGTATTTATTTTTGGGAGTTGGCTCCTCGACTTCACTGTGCTATAAAATGCGCAGAGTGTGCGTGAGACAAATGAATTGGTTGGCTTTTATTGTGGCTTCCTCTTTAGTTGGCTCTTTTGCTCTTTGATTATCTCTCTGTACATCCTAAAAAATTATCAAGATTTTAAGAGGCTGTATAAAAAGTATACAGCTTAAGACAAGATTATGCTAGAAAACTTTATGACGAGTTTCAATGAATTGTGAATGTACCAAAAGCTTAACAACAGAGCGAATATTTTGAAGAAAATACCTTATTTTGACACTTATACATTTATAATTAATTTATACTGTTGGAGATGTTTTCACAATTCCCTTATTTTAGAATTTTTCCTCGTAGCAACCGTATTTTATATTCAGGCTTTAAAAAAATATTTTCTACAAGTGTAGACCATTTTTACCTAAGAGATAATAATAAAATAATAAAGGCAAAGTGCGTTAGTCTAGTTGAACTCCAAAACGCGAGTAATCGTAAACCAGGGGCTCCTGCATGTGTGAACCTTGGGGCAATTTTAATCAAAACTACCCTTGTTTACCAACGTGCATATTATATTGGTACAGATGTCTGAGCGTATGCAAATTAGCTCCACATTGCAAATGTACCACAAATGGCCAGAATAAACAAACGGAAATTTCACAATACAACCCAATAGTAAGTAGCTACAGTTTCAGTAGTGCCAGATATCCCTAAAATAAATGTTGTAAAATAACATAATTTTTTAATATGAAAAATTTGAAACATATATAGTTTTTTTTGACTAACTTTTAAAAGCAAATAATTGGGTTTAGTAATAAAGGTTTCAACTCAGACTATTACAATATAGAAGTTCGTGTATGCTGAATGAACGGTGCGTCACAACAAACAAATATTAATTAAAAAGAGACATCTTTAATTTAATTGAAGTGTCAATGGAAAGTCAAACATTAACAAAAGCTTCAGTTAAATTTAATAAAAGCCTCACAAAAGCCAATTTGTGCAAATTAATTGGGTTAAAATGGGCTTTGACCAGGGCTTTGTTATATACAGCTGAATTTCAACTCATATTTAAAATGGACTTTTTAAAAGTAAGAAAACAAAGTTAGTATTGATTGAAAAAGAACCATTCTTAAAGCCTTATATCATATCCAACTGCTTAATTAAACTTCCTCCAAATTCCCTTTAAAGATTCCCAAAATTCTTAAGCAGGAAGGATGCCAAAAAGGCCAACAATTAAGTGTGAAGAACCGGCATACAGCTGCGACTGCCTCTGCTCCTTTTCAGCAGTTGCAGTCTGGCAAACAAAAACAGGACGTGGCAGGACAAGAGCCAGAACTTGTCGTTGCTCCAAAACTGATGGAAAAACAGCCTTGAAAGCGTGAATTCGCACACCCCAAAAATGTCGGGACAAACAGAAGGACCCAAGGCTTGGTGGCGAAAATTCATGGGCGAAAATTCCAGAGTCCCCTGGCACTGGCACTGGCACTCGACTACTACTTCATGATGGCAAAAACGCGCCAGCGACACATAAACCCTTTCAGGGGCCGATAAAATGACTGACAACTCGAGAGTCTCTAGACTCGAGAGTCCTAGGCCCGAAACTTTGCGCATCATTTGCCAGCAGAAATGCCAGGTCATTATGTTGCCCAAAAGATATAAATAGCTTTGTTTTTCAGATAAAAATGTGTTTGGCTTTTCGATTTTTCTTGTCTTTTTTGCTTGTGTGAATGGGAATAAGAAAAATACGTATACGCCGCGTTGCCTGCGAACTCTGGCATGCCCTTTGCTCTTTGCTCCGCCTCCTCCCAACTCATTTGCCGCCTCCTTACTTCGGGTCTATTTTATTTATTATATTTGTTTTTTTTTTTTTTTGCTACCCTCCTGGGACTTAAGCCAAATGGAAAGTTTTTCGCGTCCTTTTTTGCGTCTTTTTCAAGTCTGAAGTTCAACGGTGCGCAACAATTTTCAGGTCTACTAGAAAAACTGACAGCGAGCAAATAAATTTAAAGCGAAGTTCTGTATGTGCTCTTTAGTTATTTGACTTTAGGTTTTCGCAAACAGAATCTGATATTCCGTAAGTACTTGAAAAGAGCGCGAAACTTGGCAAGTAATTTATCTGTATTTTTATTCCGCGGCTTAACTCCATTTCCGTTTTTCCCCCGATTATTATTTCTCTTCATGGAACTTCTTTTGCAAAGCAATTTATTCGCATTCCTGTCTCATTATTTATTCGACTTTTCACCTTGACCGTGTCCTTTATCTCACGTCCCTTATATCTGAATATCTGATGTCATGTCGGCGATACAAGCGTTTCTTTTGTCACCTTCATTTGTTGGCCGACTTCATCTGCCGCGTTGATTTGTGGCAACAGGGAAAGTCGCTAACGGTAATTGAATTAGGGCCGACATGATATATGTACGGATATTCTATACTGTTGTACCCTTGACAATGCCAATTAATCATACGCAACGTTGAAAAGGCGTTGAAATGAAATATCCATCGTACGTGTGATTTAATTAATTTTCCCTTATTAATGATGAAACATGTTACATTTGTTTTTTTTTACTGATTCTTAGAGCTATAAGCCAAACCCAGATAAAACTCCTGGCAAAGAGAATTTTTACAAATGATATTAGATATACAGACTTGTTATGAATAGCAACATTAGTAATTAATATAAATATCTTTTATATAAAATATTTTAAAGTATAAACCTAGATAACATAATTTAAGTAAAATACAACACTTTTTCTAAAGATGTACATTATTCAGAAAAAAGAAAAGTTCCCATAAACTTTTTTTTTTTGTTTCCCTTCTTCTGTGCAATAAATAGCATTGCTTTTGGCTTACTCATTTAAAAATACCACAACAAATTTAAGGGAACTATTCTCATTGCATGGCTACCAGCATTCATATCCGATAACCCAGCTCTTGGCCAAATGCCAAGCCAATATTAACCGGGAATATGAGCAGACAATAGATGGCCAAGGGAATGGCGGACCGGATCGGTTTGTCTGGCAGACAAGCGGCAAACCAAAAAATGACAGTTCGGATGTCAGGAGTGCTCCATGTTGACTTTAAAATCACATTCAAGAGTTCGCTCCGCACACTCAACCGGACTTGTATAAGCAGTTCAATTACACGACTCCCTGCTGCATGCATGCACCGCCTGCCACGCCCACTTACCCAGTGATACTCCCACCACACCACCCACCGCCCACTCACCCACAACGGTATGTTTATTGAAAGGTTACATGAATGACACACACGCCACAAAAACTGAAGCACCCACACAGACATCGACCGCAGACACACACTAACACAGAGGCGTGCAGGGGATTTCATCAGGGGGTGGGAAAGTACCCATTTAATTATATTTTGATTAATTCATTAGTATATATTAAAAGGCAGATAGCAAAATAAATAGAGGAATCGATTGATATGTGGACGCATTTAATATTAAGTTTTGATTACTATAGGTACACTACATTATTTCTAGGTATATGTTCTTAAAATAAAAAGACTATAAATAGTTTACCCATGACAAACGTTCTGCGTTGTATATGCTACAATCGATTTTAAGAGTATTGAATCTAAAAACACCAATGATCTTTATTTACATAGATTTACCTTTAAACAATACTGTAAAGTCTCAGTTATTTTTAAGAATAATTAACTTAGTTGTAATATATAAACGCTTTTAGTTTATATATTAAAATAATGAATAGGTACTTTAAATTTCACTTGGCTAGTAATGAAATTTTTGTATTATTAGTTAAGGTTGCCTTCAGAGGTCTTTAATCCCTGCGCCCCCCTTTGCACGCCCCTGCATCCATCTCACACGCATAGGAGCATTTGCATTGTCTGTGGGTATCCCCTTTGATTCGTTCCTTTTTGGTTGCTTTTCATTGCATTAAGTGAATGTATCTGCATGCATATGCGACACGACAATAGCCGTGTATTTAGAGGGGGGAAATGGGAGCAGTCCGCTGCCAATTGCAACAGACGCCGCCGTCTGGCAGCTCGTTACGTGCCATCACGAAAGGCCCCCATCCCGAACCATTTACCATCCAACTCCCATCCGGAGTTCCCCAATCGAACGAACCCCTCTTAAAGACCTGCTCGTTTCGATTTAAGCTCGAGTTTTTGTGTTGGGTCATTGCCTACTTTTTGGGGCCCACGCGTTTCCTGTCTTTTTTAGTCGACCAACGCTCAGATTGATGGATGATTTTTGGCCAATTGATTGATGTACGAATTTTACAAAGTTGACAAAGATTTCAGGTCCCACAGGAAGCCACCTGCCACGTGGTCATTTTGCGTCATAGCTGGCCACAACATTAATGGGTTAATCGTGGAATAACCAACCCTTGTTTTAAGTCTGCTTTGCGACTTCCTGCACAGAAAGCAAAATTATTATATATTATAAATAATAGAATTTAATAAACAAAAAACATATAAAATTAGCATCGTACAGAAGGATTTTAAAATAACGAGATTTAACGTATGTAGAACCGAAATTAAGATTTCCAAAACGTTAAGAACCTCAAAACATTCAATAATTACTTTTTAATCAATGAGAATTCTGTATTTTTATTTCATAATATGACTAATATTTGTCAAAGCTTAATTTAAATATTTAAATTACTAATATAAAATCTTCAGAATTTCTGACTTTCTTTACTATTAACATTCATTAATAAATAAAAGGTTAACTATTTTCGTTCTCTGTGTAAACAAGGCAATTACTTATCTCCCCCCGCACCAATCATTCAATGGCATCATTAAAAATGTATTACAAACTCAATTCCATAGACAAGCATTATGTTTGGAGTTATGGTTCCACATAAACTTATTTTCTAAAGCATTTAACGAGGGTCAATAAAAGTGTCGAACCCTGCGGTTCGAATGTTCGGGTTCTTTTATGACTTCAGTAGGGCACCTCAAACACCATGACTACGTGACCAGAGAGCGTTTTTAATTAACAATTACCACATGAAGACAAGCCCTGGAACACGTGTCGAATTCTGTGGGTTAGCTTGGGACCTTGGGTGCCTAAAATTAAGATAATAGCTGGAAATTAGAGCTGGGGGACTCCTGGCAACTAGGGTCCCAGCCGAAATCAGAGAGAGGGCAGCCCGCCACTGAGTCTTGTTTCTAATTTTGGAGCGAGGACGGCTACAAAATCCACAACATGAACAGAAAAAAAATACAAAAAGCTAACCAGACCGCACCTAAACGCATGACGCAGCCGGGAACCCATCTTTCCGAGTTTAGAAACCAACGACCTGCATTTTAATTACGTTGTTCTTTACACCTTAACGTGTTGAAATGCCATAAAAGACAACAACAGCAAGTCGCCAGGAAAAGGGCAGCAACAGCCAAGTCATGAAAAGGATCAAAAGGCAAAAGGAAAGTGGAGTAAAGTGGTCGACGGGGGGTAATAATGCAAGATATCCTTTTTGGGAAATTACTTAAAAATTTTAAACTCTCATAATACCTTAACCATTTATTACAGATGAATTTGATTATTAACATCATTATTAACATCAAACCAGTATCTTTACTAATTGTATTTTTGCAGGCTAATAAATGTCTTAAAATAAAATGCATCTTTTCTATAATTTTTAGAAAGTATTCAGTTGCACTTATTTTATGCATGTTCTTTTTCCTTTTTTAGTTTTGTTCAGAAACTAAGGCAAAAAATCGTACATATTTTATACTCGATTGTATGACTAATAAAAATTTATATTTTTTAAAATTTTAACACATCAATTCAGCAAGTACATATTGCATTTCAATCGTGCTCGACTACATGTTTTCATTTCCATTTTTAAACGCCAATTCATTTGTATTTAAGGGGTATTTCCCTACCGAACCCATAATCAAATTGTAGCGTGCCTGTGCAGCAATTAAAAGTAGCTATTTGCTATCCCACATGGCGGACGAGCGAATCGTCTGAATTCCCCTGCTCAAAGGTGTGGAAATTCCGGCGTTGACCGGAGTTGGCGACTTGTGCTTAGTGTGCGTGTTTGCCTCCATTTCGGGTGCCTTTCTGATTCTGTTTGCCTTTCTCTGTCGAAGTGTGTGGTCAGCTGTGGTCAATGATAAAAGCGAAACGATAATTTCCGTTCGCGGACCTGGGCGGCAAAGTGACCATTGACATGCAAATTTCCATTTAGGGCAAAAGCTTTCTGACAGCACCGAACTGGAGTCGCATTGGAAGTTTTTCCCAGGTGAAGGTCAGTGTGCGTTTGCTTGTGCAGCTGCCTGCAGCTCAAATTTATTTATAGACATAGCCCAGGGCAATAGTGGGAAATTATCATTTGTTGTTCTGGGCTCAACTACTCCAAGGTTAGAGAAAAGCTGCACCTGCTTTGGGTATTGACAGAGAAAAATTATGAAGTCTTCTTTTGTTAGACAGTATAGAGGGTAAAGAAATAGCTCTTAAATAAAGTTATAAGCTTATGTGTGTAGGTTTTTACTTTGATAAAATTAGATTTAGAAATTCAGGTTCTCTTGCACTTTTAAAGGCTATATTGTCCCAGCATGTGATAGACTATTTGCGTACTTAGTTATTACTTATTACTCAATTATATTCAACATTTTACTTATATATTTTTTGTTTAAGTACTTCTTAAACTTATGGGGTATAAAATAAGAGGGGATTACTACGTGTTTATACATCTTGGAACTTCAAAATTGTAACTTTTTTAAACATAATGCTAGCTTAAGGTTAAAAATGCAACCCTTAAAAGAAAGCTATAGAAAATAAGCACCTGGATATTCTCACTGCTACAAAGTACCAAAAGTTACCTAACAGACTTAAGGTGAATCAACTACACGATCTCTCCTGGCTTAGCAGCTCTGCATGGAAGCTCCAGGCCACCGCCCATCGAGTGGTGTGTCCCTGATGGAATTCCGTGGTGGTGACATTCGCCACCTGCCGCTCCTTCAGGTAGTCCAGTATCCTTGGCAAGTTGGCCTTGACGCCCAACATTGTCGTGAAGATGCTGTTGCGAGGGGGCAGAAGCCAACGTTAATTTAATTTCAGGAGTTAATCAAGATTGACTCACCGCACGCGAAGCTTGTTTTCCAGACTCTCGTCTATGATGCGCTGTACGAAACGGACTTCGCCGCCCACGCAGGTTAGCTCCTCCTGGCTTCCAGTTCTGGCATTATTGGGTGCCGGTCGCCTCTCGGGATTCCTGGTGTTGCCCCCAAAAGGATTAGACAAGTTGGAGTCGAAAAAGGGTGGATTGCACAAGCAAAAGTGGTACTGCAGCTCCTGTTGATCCTTCTCGAAATAGCTCTTGAAGATGCTCGTTTTTTCTGGTTGAGCGTAGACTTCTATTAGATCTTCCAACTGGCTTTTCTTCACATTCTCTCTGGCATATTCTATGTTTTGGAGTTTCGATTCCAGGGCCAACATGTGCCAACCATTTTTCTTGGCTCCCAGCAAAGAATAAATACATGAAGAGCCACAGCCTGTAAGGGAATCTATTAGTAAAACTGTATATCTCAATTTTTCCTGAACTCACCTATGTCTATTCCTTTTATTTCTTTCAATTTTAGTGGTTCCATTAGATCCTCTAGCCAGAGAATGTAATTTAAACGGAGGGCCAAAGTGGGCACCAAACTTCCAGGTGCAAAATCCACATTTAAATCAAAGTATTCCTTTAAAAGCATTTTGGTCAACTCGCGCAAGGTATTTTCGTTGCGAAAATTCACAGATACTTTGCCATTGAGCTCCTAATTAAATAAAATGTATAATTAAACAATTGTAAGACCATGAAACTAGTTTTAACTTACCAATTCGCACTCTTTGCGGAAATCTTTGTATTTAATAGCCAATTTAGTGTAATCTGGTGGCTGGCGTAATACATTGCGAGGGTGCATGCCGAATTTCTTAGCATTTCCCTTTGTTTTAACCATGTTTTGTGTTAAAAATATTGCAATTGTTTATGAAATGAAATGCCGCGGAATTTCGAGCAGCTGTTTATTGCAGCAATCTGGCAACTTCGTTTCCAAAATTAGAGATGACACTTCATCGATTACTTTTTTGAAATGTAGTATTTTTTGGGATTTTCTTGGTTCTAGATGACTGGTCTTACTGCCACTTGTTGATTTAATTTATTTGTAAACAAAAAACGGAAAATTCATGTCTTGGCCGGGAAAATTGTTGGTTACCTACGAAAACTTCACAACTGATTTGCCTGCTCTTCAAAATGGCAACAAAACAGAAGGATGCCCCACTTCTTGTGATTGCAAGTGCAAGTGCTGTCGAGGATTCAGGGAGAAATACGTGGCATTTAATGGGGAAAATGATTGTGGCTCCGAATTTCCCAACGAATTTTCCGGCGAAGGAGAAGATGTCCAGAAAATGATGCGTTTTCGCAGCTCAGATATGTTGCTTTTACTGCAGGCAGCGCAATTGCGTGATAATTTCTGGACCAATCAGTATTTTAAGGCTGACCTAAAAGAAGATTTTCAAGCCATTTCAGAGGTTTTCAAAGCTGAAAGATGGAAAATTAATTTGGAAAAGCTAGCGGCCATTATGGATACAGTGAGCTCTGGCTATAGACGAGCGATTAGTCAATTAACGGGTGAGGAAGCCCAGGGAGCTCTGCGTCCCAAAATGACAGCTCTTAATTTACCAGGATTACGATGCGCTTGTCAAAAATGTGAGCAACTTCCTTGGAAAAAGCTACGGGATGTAGAGGATCATCAGAAAAAGCATAGCTATTCTGACAACTTTCACTGCACGATTTGCTATCGCAGATTTTACCTGCAACATTCACTAACTTCCCATTTGAGCAGGAAAGTTGGAGGTAAAAACTCTAGCTCAAAAGAACTCGAAGAAAATGGTCGTTACAAACGATTTCTGGAAAACCAAAAGTTGAGAGAACAAGAGGAATTGGAGTTACGACCCGCCAAAGTTGAGGATATAGTGGTGCCAGTCAGCAAGGACCTCGAGCTGTTTCTTAAGGAGGAGTCAAGATCTCTTCCACGAAAACGAAAGACTTCCACCAAAACCAAATGTCCACTTTGTGATCAGAAATATGGCTTCTCCTTTAGCCACCAACTGCATATGGTTAAGCATAAAAAGGACCATTCAGATCCTCCCAAACGCTTTCCCTGCCCCTTTTGTCACAAGTCCTTTCTCACCCATAAATTTCTACGTAATCACATGAGAAGAGTTATAATGGAATGTAAACTGAGATATCGTTCTTTCAAGTGCCGTAGATGTCCATGGAGATTTCAACTGTGTTCTGCCCTTAAAGCCCATGTAATCCGAATGCATGAGCGCAGAAAACCGTGTCTTATTTGCCAACTTTCCACTGTGGGTCGCTGTTGTTCTTCTCATACGCCGAAGGAATGCAGGGAGGCTATTAAAAAACATCGCGAAAAAATGCGCCTTTTAAAGGGACCTCCAAAAGGTGGCTGCAAGAAACAACCCAACCCGGTGTGTGAAATCTGCGGAAAGGAATTCACAAACAAGTTCTTCCTCAGGGAGCACATGAACAAAACGCACTTAAATAGGAGGAATTTCACATGCGAAATCTGTGGAGCCCATTTCTTCAGCCAGGGCACAATGCAAACCCATCGAAAAACAGTCCACCTCTTGTTGCAGGTCATGAAATGTGAGGTCTGCGATCTCACCATCAAATCCAGGGCCAATTACCTAAGGCACTGCAAGTCTCAAAGGCACAAGGATGAGCTGTTTAAATTGGGTTCAGAAAAATGTACAGAATCTAGTAAGGAAAATAATGCAGAATCTACTACTACAAACGAAGATAAGCCACCTAAGAGCAAACAAAATAAAGTCAAGGCTCTGAAGAAGGAAAAAGTCAAAGTAAAAACCCCTTGCAGATTTCAAAAGCCAGAAAATGTTACTTTCTGTGAGCCCTGTGGAAATTCTATTGTGGGAAACATGCAACGGCATTACAGATCAACTAAACATAAGCGTAACCTAGCTGCACACATTAGAAATGAACAAATAGCTAAAACAATATAAAATAAAATTAAACCATCTAAAACATTATTAGTATTATTATTGGCCATTAACTCAGTTTACATTAGCTTCCTCTGTTTGTTTTTCAAATAGTGACTTCTGAGAATTTTAAAAGTCGCGGGCAAAATAAAACCGTTAAAATATACCAAAATCCAAAACTAGTATTATTTGAATATTTGCTATTTTCTACTTTAGCTAACGACGGTCACTCTCGACTCAATTTCGGCAAAACAAAACACATTTTTTACTGAAAACTCAGATTTAATTATAAAATATAGACTAATAATGTCGGAAACTAGCTCCAAGGATAATGTAAAGACGGCAATGACGTATATTTGCGGTGGTAAGTTGGGCAAACCAAGTTCTTTAAAATAAAAACGATTTCTTCAGCAGGCACATGGCTGCCGGAATAGCAACTCAAATAGTTTAAAATGTGGTTTTATTAATAAATGGTTTGTATTATAAACTTTTAGAATGCCATCACGAAAACGAGATGCGACCAAGGGATCCAATTCGTTGCCGCGAGTGCGGATATCGTATTATGTACAAAAAACGCACCAAGCGTCGTAAGTAATTCTGTTTATTTAAGACCCAAAGAGTCTCCAATGATTCTCAAACTGTACTAATGAAATCTTTCGTTTTCTTTGCAGTTGTTGTCTTTGATGCCCGATGAAAAATAGGAAGCAACGGACAGTTTATATTTTTAAGGAATTAGTGTGTAGCTAAACAAAGCTTGTGCTTCAATAAAAGTCCTCTACAACCCAATAATTGCATATTTTGAATCCTTTGAGTCAAAAAACAATATCATTTCATTGTCTTAATTTTAATCAATTTTAAAAATATAAAATGATATCTACAAGTCTCAGATTTAGGACTCATCAAACACTCCATGGATCTAACATCATTATTTAGATACTGAAATAAGTTCAACAGATAACTCCCAAAACCTATTTTAAACCAAAATTAAACATCCCACAATTAATTGAAAAACAAATCAAAATATAATCCCAAAACAAATAAATTAAGAAGACCTTTTTGTTTTATATTTTAAACTAATTATGTTTTATTTTGAATGTTTTGGAAATATATAATTTTAAACTAAAAACACTCACATTACAATTATTGTAATTATACCTTTTATTTTTTGCAAGTTCATTGCTTAAATAAAATTTAAAGTAATTCGGTTTGTTCTTTTTTTTTGTTTCCTTTCTTATAAATGTCTTTTTTCGTCTCAAAAATTTTGTCTAAATGGCTTGTCATCCAAAAATTTACTTTACTTAAGAATTTTCTCTTCGTTTACGCTTTAGTTTAGTTTTGTGTAATAAATTTACGTTTTTTTTAGTTTACCACATTTAGCAAAAACACACATTTTACACTAAAATTGTTTATACCTTTATTCATATATATCATATCTTCCCCCGACACTTTTCAGTCAAATATTTCTTGTTCAGTGTGGTAAAAAGTTGTATTCTATCCATGTTCTTTGAGTATTTTGTAAGTTGTTCTTGTGTTACCTTCTTATTCTTCTCGACGACATTCTCCTGTTTTTCTTTCTGATAAAATCATGAATACACATCTACACGTACAGTAATATAGTTTTTGTTCATTTTGTTTTGTTAATATTTATAGACGTTTGTTTTTCCATATTTAAAACGTTTTGCGTGAGAATGGATTTTGTTTTTTGTGGGCATTGTGGGCGTGACTGCTGCTCCGAGGAGTAACTAAATCAACTAAAACTAAATTTATATTCACGTTAAAGCTTAAATGATAAGTAAGGCAAAGGGTTCGATGAGGTTCGCGTTTGCAGTTCATAAATTAATCCATAAACTAAGGTAACTAGACGACTAAATGCTAGGTGTAAAAAGATGGCAATCATTACTCGTAACTAAACTGAAGCTTTGTAAATGGCAAATTAAAGCTTTATACTTCACATTTCATTCAATCGAATACAAATACAAATGGAGGAAATCAGGGGCTGGGACACATTTGATAAATGCTCATTCCAGGTAAATTACTAAATAGTTAAATATCCGTGTGTAAATGTTCATTGTGAGTGGGTTTTGTGTTTGTGAGATAGCTCAATTGTACAACTAAGATAATGAAATTCATTTGCAGTCGGCTGCAAAAGCGCTTTCGAGACCGTTTGCATGAATTGTGTTTGTTTGTTTTTTAAGTATTTTTTGTTTGTTTAAGAGAAATCATATTTCAGGTACATCACAACTTAAAATTTAAAAAATTAAATGCAATTTTTTAAACGATTTTCAATGTCAAATGCCTAATGCATTCCATTTATGGCAAGCAAACGAATAATAAAATAGAACCGAAACTACACGGCCACATTAGCATTTCTTTCCGCCTGTCCGCGGCGAATCCTCTTCTGCAGAGCTGCCTGCAGCCGTTGTCTCCCAATTGATGAGCAGGATGATCCCCCGGAACCATGTCGCCAGTACTTGTGTAGGGCCAATGATCCCAGGGTGTGGTAGTTAAAGCTGATGGAGCTGCTCTTCCGCGTCTGGTTGCACTTGATGCAGCCCAAACGCTGGCGCACCATGCGATTGAGGTACTTGTCCCTCAGCAAGGTGACCACCGCCTCCGGCGTCAAGCGGATCTTCTTGGGCTGCGCCTGCTTGCGCGAGCTGGACTTCTTGCTGAAATCCAGCGGGGCGGCCAGATACTCCTGCTGACTGGCCGCATCCGCCAGCAGTGGCAACAGGGTGGCCAACTGGTTGAGGGATTTACGGGAGGCGTTCGAGGAGGCGCCGTTGCTGTGAGCCGGAGCCGCCTTCTTGGGACTCCGGCGCGGCGTACTGAGATCCAACTGTCGCTTGAGCAGCGATGTCACCGGCGGCGGTGGCTGGATCTTTGGCGCTATGGTCAGTGTTATGTCCTCCTTGTTTCGCAGATACTCGATGTACTCCTCCGTTTCGCTGAGCAGACGACGCCGCTTGCTCGGCGACATGTTCTCAATATCCAACTCTATCGCCTGCTGCTGCTGCTGACCCGTAGTCGTGGCCGTGGGCAATGCTGCTGCTGCAGCGGCCAACATCAGAGGCGTCTCCGCCGCATAATACTTGTTGATAATGTCCTTGACATAGTTCTGGAACTGGGTGCCAATGCGATTGAGATTCTGGTACTCCATTTGGGTGAGAAACGGAGTCTGGTTGGCGTTGCCGCTGCCACTGGGCGGCGATGTTGCTGCTGCAGCTGCAACACTTGCTGCTGCTGCTGGTGACTTGCTCTTGTTGTTCTCCTTGTCATCCTGGCGATGATGGTGAACGGCATTTCTGTGCGATGACTTGTCCTTGTAGTAGTTGTTGTTATGGCTGTTACTATTGTTATTGTTGTTGTTCAATTTGTACGCGGGAGACGATTTAATAAGCTGCAATCGCTGCTGCTGCTGGCTATGATGTTGCTGATGTGGCTGATGCTGCTGCTGGTTCTCTTGGTCCTCGTCGTTGTCATCGTTCTCGACCTTGATCTTCCGTTTGCTGGCCAGCAGCTCGATGGCCGTCTGCTCGTAGCTGGCCGCCTCCAGAAATGCCGTCGCCATCATCGCCTTGGTGGGCCCCATGTCCTTGGCCTCCATCTCATCCATCTTCTCCAGCTTGACGGCATGTCGCGACAGCTTCAGTGGCGATGTGGCGCTCATGTTGAACTCATCGCCCGAGAAGCTCGACGAGGAGGCCGACGAGGGTGTATTCTCGTCATCCTCGCCTGTGGAATGTTGTCGCGCCCGAATGCCAAACTTTTGGCGCTGGGAACCGGAAACGGAGCCGGCGGAACCGCCGCCCATGTTGCTCAGGCTGTACAGCAGTGCAGCAGCCTCACGTGTCGTCCATTGCGAAGGCAGTTTATTGTTAAACAGGAGTTGATGATTGGCTGGTATTTTCAACTCGTGCACGCCTCCCGCCTTATGAAAATCCTGAGCGACCGAAGCGGTGTTGCGACTAATGGCGTCCATTTTCAGCAGACTGTAAAGATAAAGCAAATAGGAAGAGGTTAGAATATGATATGTTTTTTTAAGGACAACAAATTGATAAAATAAACAGCAACTGAAGTTAAAAATCATGGAAACAACTGAATAAAAACCAATTTAAAAGATTGTTCATATGTACAAATTTCGGTAGAAAGGAAATATATAAAGAACATCAAAAACTGAAACTCTAATAAGCATTATGGCAAGAATAAACAGTGCGACCTAAAACAAAATATTATTAGAGTGCAGATAAAGTGAAGAACAGTAAAACAAACACAAAAAAGATTTCAAAGCAGTTTTAAAACTTCAATAATTTTTTGAAATCGTAAAACACAACAATGGGTTAACATTTTGATTAATAAAAAGGACAAACGAGTTATTTTGTAACAATATAAAAATAAAACTGAACAAACGAATGGGTGTACAAAACAGAATTTGCAAGGGAAGATTAGCAAACTTTGTAAACCAACGTAAACAAAACCATATTTAACATTATCATGTAAGACAACGAAATAAGTTAAAAAACTGAGTGAAAACCAACGAAAGCGCAATGGATCTGGGGTATATTGGTTATGCAAATACCGCGCATAGTCCTCCGGATCGCTGCCCTCGGCCTCGAGGTACTGAAACAATCGCTCCGAGCCGCGCTTCTGCGTGGCTGCATTCGGCAATCCGCCGGTGAGCAGATCGTGTGGCGGGATCAGTGACCCATTGGCGCTCAGCCGCCAGCCGACCATCGACGAGGGATTCACGATGATCTCCTGGAGCGGTCCGCCGCCGGAGATGTTGCCGCTTATGCCGCCGCCACCTCCGCCTCCGCCGCCGCCGGCCACGCCCTCATTGGTGGTGGTGGTGTAGATGGTTACGGCACCGCCGCCTCCATTCGCATTGCCCACATTGCCACTGGACGAGCTAACCGGAAATGGTGGTGAAGTGGTGGTCGATGGTCGTGTGGAGATGTGGTGATCATGGTTGTTGGGATGTCGTGGGAATCGAGAGTCGAGAGAACGAGAGAACGAGGGTAGTAACTAGAGTTAGGAACGTTGTGCGCGCTCGGTTGGGGTTTTGTTTTTTTTTTTTTTTTTTTTGGGAATGTTGGTGTTTTGGTTTTATTTTTTTGTTTTCGGGAGGGGTTTTTGTTTTTTTTTTATGGGGCAGGGCGGTCTGAGAATGTTACCCAAAAGCGTTGCCGGCATAGGTGTTCAGCTGGTTGTTGGCCACCAGGCTGTTGCCAATGGTTCGCAGCACATTGAGGTTCTGGCTGTGGCTGTGGCCCCCGGCATTGGCATTGTTGTTGCCATTGCCGCCGCCGTTGCCGTTGCTATTGCCGCTGCTGCTGCCGCCGCTCTGGTTGCCGTTGCCGCTGCGCGCCGGCCGGTTATCGTGCGGACTGATCAGATCAGGGTATATATATATATGTTAGATTTAGAGAACGTCCAGGGATTTTAGGGGGTAGCGAAAGAAGTGGGGCGAAAGAGAGTTCAAAAGCTGTTTAGAGTTTTTCGTAATTCCCAGGGCAAACGAAGGGGGAGGTTAGATTCGGGCATCCGAAGCTATAAGTACCCTTGCAGATGGATCATTTCCATGACAGATTTGTGATAAGCTAATCGGATTAATGTCAAGCTTGGCAGAATTTAAGTGTGACTTCATACACAACATACGGTCAATTTTATGTTGGAATTACACAACCTTATCACGTTGTTATAGAATGTGAATTCAACATGAAAAATTCATAATTTGTTATAACTACTAGGAGATCAGGAATTTATGTATATTAGGATAAAATGTC